AAGAAAGAAAACTAGAGTTCTCCATAACAGATAGTAACAAACTCCATCAAGGGAGACTAACAACAACCAAAAAATAAACTGGACAGAACAAAACCAAAAAATAACTGGAAACAAAAAAAGAAACAACAAACTAACAAAATGATGTAGGTAAGCGTACGAGTGTGAAAGATAAACGAGATACTCTCTCGATAAAACTCATAATCTTATTTCATTCAAAAACAACTCCCTAATAACCAAGATGAATGAGTCTTTAAATAAGACTCTTAAAACCATAAACTTATCTTGTCCACCAAGCTACTAAGTATTAAAAATAATATTAAACGCTAATAATAATAATAGTAATAATAATAATAATAATAATAATACTAAACCTTAGACTAATGCCTATCCGCATCACAAAATAAACCCGATTAACTATAAACTAAATCCCTCCTCGACTACCAACAAGCACGACTCGCTACACCTGGAAGCACGACCTCCCAAGACGACCAAATGAAGAGAGCCAAAGCATGAAGAGAGCCAAAGCATGAATCTCAGATCTAGGCACTCCAAACCCTAGATGACTATGACTACTGAGATCTGAAGAAACAAGTTGAATCCAAACTTCAAACTCGAGACCGAGCAACTGACAACGACTGGGCGAGAGGACCAGCAACACCACCCCATCATGCCTTAAAGAAACTTTATCAGGAGCTTATAACCTTTTTTTTAAGGGAAAAAAAAAGAGATTTCAAGCCTTCTCGAATAATTCATTTTTTAAGTCAAATCAACAATAATGAGCTATTAAGAATTTTTAATAAACATCATGAAATAGTTGTTAGAGGTCAAAAAAGGTATGAGATCAAAAATTCGCTCACACAAGACATTTAGGCAAAACTCTTTTATAGAACTAGTAAATAGCTCATGCGATACATGAGACATAAACGATAAATCATAAAAAGTAAAATGTGAAGGAATACCGATTAGCATAAAAAAAAGTTTGAATATTAGTTTTATTTTTTTCTTATACTTTTATGATATATAATACATTACTATATGTATTTGACCGGTATTATTTTAAATTTTCTGCATATAATTAGGGAAGATGAAAATTTACATTTTCAAACATTATCAGTAAATAATACTCAAAAACAATAAATAATACTAAAAAATATATTATTTTTTTCTATCTTCCCTTACTCACACGTTATTACAATATATTATTTTGAATTTTAAAAGTGATGGTAAAGTTGAAAACTTGTGACAAATAATATAAATTGACACTCTATTTGAAGAAAAATGTAGGGTATATTATGTTAAAGTTATAAATTTATTAATTTTTCAATTAGTTCAATATTATTTTAATTTTTATAATTTTTAATAATATTTTAGATCATTTCTATAATCTAATAACTCATGTGACAGGTCGACACCAGTTGATTTATTATTATAATTTATAAGAGTATATAAAATATATATTTTGATTTTTTTTTGGTAAGATAACAGTTTACATTGTTGTTCAACAGGTAACTCGTTGGTTAATAATTATAA